TTTTGGCCTGACGAGAGAACAGTTCCGTAAAGTATGTTATAGTGTGGCTAAACAGCTAGGTGTAGATGATAGATTTAACCAAGTCAACGAAACTGCGGAAAAAGATTGGCTAGCTGGATATTTACAACGCCATCCTGATTTGAGCATAAGAAAGCCTGAAGCTATTAGTATTAATAGAATCCTCGGATTTAACAGGACTGAAGTAACGCTTTTTTTTAACAACTTGGAAAGATTAATGACGCAACATAACTTCGAACCACATAGGATTTATAATGTTATTTGTATTTACTAAATTTTATGTACGATCTCAAATAAACTACTTAGGTTAAGTTAATTTTTTGGTAAATTTAAAGTTTGTGGCTTTTAGTTTGGATCCTTAAAAAATGGATATAACCTGTTCACTTTTTGTAATGTCGCATTTATTATTTGTTGTTTTGTTTGATAAGTTGTCTTTTTATTTTTGTTAACTAGATTTTATGTAAGATCTCACTTAAACTACATAAGTTTAGTTAAATTTTCGATAAATCTAAGAGAATGGCTCCCATTTCCCATATGAGCGTTAAATAGGCTCTCATTTCCCGCATGTGTCGGGTAATGGGAGCGACTGACTTTTTTTGTAAAACTTTCTTTGTATCCTAATTCTTGGCTGTATTAAATTATAAGTTTGATTAAACTACACTCTAATAATAAAGGTAAGAGTTTCCACTTTAAAATAATTAAAATGTTAAAAAATTTGGTTTTTATTAAAATTTTCCCTTAGTAGGCTCCCATTACCCTGTACTCCCCTACGGTTACTGTAGAAGCACTACATAATTCCTTCGGCTGCAAGGCAACTCAAATGTTTTACAATTATACCTGTATATCTTTATTAATATAATAAAGAGAAAAGATTTGAATGATCGTTTGAATCGAATAGACTCCTAAAGTACTAAACCGATTATAAATGTTCTTTCATCTACGGAAAGCTCCATCACTCTCGAGTGACATAGGATTTAATTGTCAGAGGCAATGTTGCGGTAAAACAGCTCGTATTGTAGAGTATAATTATTTTTTAAATTTAGGAGTAATTTTGTGATTCTTTTTCTCGAGAAATCTTTATTTTATTGCTTTGTAGAAATCCAGATGAAAGTTGGTGATTTTGCATGTACGCGCCCTCTTAAATTGTTACACCGTAAACTGGGAGTGTCCCCATGATGTATAATAATTTAGTCATGGCAAGACAGTTATTGCGTTGAACATTACACATAATAAAAATAATTAATGATAAAATAATAGTGATAACAATTATTTATAATATAACAACAAAAATATGAAAAATATGGACAAATATCTACCAATTAGGATGATTTAAATATAGGCAAGTATCATCTTCCCGCCATACCAAGTATTATATGAAATTACAACGATTATTCCATCACAGATACCTATCTATATATATGGTTTAATTAAGAAAAAATAAACACATGTATAAGATAATTACGTTCCATCTAATTAAATCCGGGTGCAAATAGTTAACCCCATCCGATAAAGATAAAGACATCATAATAGCGAACACAATTTTTATTAACACAAACACACTTTACCTGTTTGATAACTTAACAATCTTGTTATAAAACTTATCATTCTTCTGCCTCTGGGATTCGCTGGCTGTTCATGGTTCTTAAATCAAACTCAGCCAATTTAAATCAAACGATTTACAGTCAGAATGAGTAGCTAGCATTGATCTTTTATTTATGTATTTGCATTGAATAGGCTCCGAAACAATTGGATAGATTTAAAAAATTCTTTAACAAAAATAAACTATCAGTCATTGATTGAGTTTATTTTAAGAAAACCTTATACGTATAAATGACGATTAGCATGAAACTAGCACATGGTGTTGTAAAAATTATATGCTTTATAAAAAAGAGGGCCGAGGTGCGGGCCCTGGGGAACGCCAGAAAACAACTAATCGTTTTAAGAATTAAAAAAATATTTACTAAATAAAATATTGACCTTAAAAGGTATTAGAGTTCAAAGCTAAACATTCTTATCTGTGTCTCTCAGTTTACATCAGTTTACAATGATAATTAGCTTTTTACTTAGTGGGGGATTATGTAATAAACAATAATTTAAAAATTCCATTACGTATGCACATTTGATATGTATATTTTATTTTATTTTATTTTATTTGGAAAACATACAGTAACGATATAACTAAATATTATATAGATGTACATAGTAAGCAGTTTTCGCATATAGAATATGTATATGTTATAAAATCGGGTTCATATGGTGTTCTGCTCTTGAAAATACAATGCCAAACAAAATTTTAAAAAGTTTGAAGGATATGAAAAAGGCTTTCAATGCTCTATCCTTAAAATAATCGTAATATACTAGAAAGCTTTGAAATTCCCTGTTACCTTTAAATCGGATCTTAAAAGTAAGTCTCGAGTACTACATTAAAAAAATAGCCTATTTAAAGCGTAATTTATAATTTATGGTATCCCACAAGGATTCATGTTAGGTCCATTACATCTTTTAATTTACGTTAAAATACTTTATTTAGGCTCCCGCACTAAAAAAGTGTTAATGCGCTTCTTTTTATATGTCTGCCCATTTGGTTGTCTCTCCACTGTCTGTCTGTTCACCTATCTGCTTATTACAAGGTTGCATCTTTTAATCAATAATATAATTTTTCTGAAAACGTAGTACGTATTTCGTCTTAAAAATACTTTTCTAGGTATTGGAATGTTGATGTTTTTAATTGACATGTGTCTAAATGACATTAAAATGATAAGCGATTTGGTTAGTTGTAAATAGAGATTATAAAACTACAATTTATATTAAGCTTCAGTTAGTTGACAGGTAAGCTCAAAATCGAATGGTATATCTTGGTAACTCGTTGTGTTGGTATATCTTAGTACCTGTGAAGAACACATTTTATAACCTTTCTTTGTGCACGATATAACTTGAGTCATTTATTCCATTCGTATGTTATACATAGGAATTGAGCAATTCTTTTAAGGAAAGTTTTTTGTTGCAAGAGTAAAGGAGGCTTAGCCATTGGTCTCAGCTGTGTTGTTATCAACACCTACCAATCCACATTGAACTCGAATAGTAGGGTAAGCATCTTTTCTCCTTTTGATTATATGAATAAGGTTTTTCGCTGATTCTTTTCTGACATTATTGGCACAAGTTCCAACTATTATAGCTTATGGAGAGTCTTCGTTTGCGTACTATAGTTGAATCTTGTTTCATTAATCATATGGTATAAAATACAACGAATTAGATGTCCATCTCACACACACTTAAAGGGTGTCAAACACTTAGTTCTTGGTAATACTCGATGCAATCTGATTAGCTAACATTTGCCGCGCTTCGAAACCCTTTCAGTTCAGAATGTCCAATATTGTCTGCCATGACTGTGACAAAAATATTAAGGCCAGTTTATCCACTTGCTGACAAAGTCCCTGATAGCCTATAAGAAACTTATCTGGCAAATAAATTGCAAATTTCAAGTCTCAGATAGAACTATCTGTCGGATAATATCACTGACTTTTAATTATCAGATAACGTTGTGTTAGATAATTATCTTGAACTTTATCAGCAAGTGGTGAAACAGGCCCTATAAATTTACAATTTTGCTTGATAAATATTATTTATCGAACCCATTATGATATAATCTTGGCTATTTTGGGTAATGGACTGTTCAGGAATTGGATATTTTGAAAACTTGAAATTTCAGAAATTTGGCATTTTGGGGATTGAATATTATTAATTGAAAGGTCGAAATTTAGCCTTCTCATCAGGTACATCAGTTGTATCTTGTTACAGTAGATAATCTATAATTAAGTATCGTGAGATGTATGATCATTGCCGTCTGGTCGTACAGTAAACAGTGTTTTTTTCTTAATTTATAACCAATAATAAACAGATTATTCATTATTGAGAGTGACCCTAGATATCTTACTCATAGTCTAGACACCTGACCGTCTATAGAGTTCGTTGTCCTTGTATTTATTTATACGCCAGTCTCTGTGAGAATTTGTTTACATGGAATCCATTGTAAATATACTGCATTTATATAATCAATGCATTGTTTAAATGACTGTTATAAGTATATGACGTATATACAATCGAACTGCAAAAACCTTAGCATTTCAATTCTATAAAATAACAAATAGACGAAACGGCTTAACGTGCCTCAAAGCTTAGAAGAGCTTTAGATAATATATTTTTAGTCACCACCCTCAAAGAAATAACTACTCTTGTGTAATAAGGGTTAGTTGCCCCAATTTACCTTCATAATAACAAACATGTTAAAGTAACGACTTAACAAATAATAATGGGTTATCATTTAGCTATCTTTGGATATTATATGTTTGATGTTAACATCCTCTGGTTAAATTTATTGTTTTACTATGGAAAAAACGAGGTTGGTAAAATGCATTCCACAGTAGAGTCAAGAGTCGAGTAGCTCGGTGGCGAAGTGGATAAACGCCGCGGCCCGCGATCTTTGTCGTTAAGCAACTTTCTCAAGTGTCGGTCACGGGATGGGTGACCAAGAAAATTATTATCTCGAGCTACTCCGTGCTTCGGAAGGCACGTTAGGCCATTGGTCCCGGCTGCATTTGCAGTCGTTAATACCCTTCAATCCGCATTGGGCCAGCGTGGAGGGTCATTGCCCATCCTCCTTAACCATCCATAAGGAAGGCCTGAGCCCCTGCAGTGGGGACGTAAAAGGGCTGATGATGATGATGATGATGATGAGTCGAGTCAATGTTAAAGTCAGAGTGACAGATATTGTAAAAAATTGACATAAAACTTAACTTCAACTACTATGTGTGTGTGTTGTGTGTGTGTGTTGTGTGTGTGTGTGTGTGTGTGTGTGTGTGTGTGTGTGTGTGTGTGTGTGTGTGTGTGTGTGTGTGTGTGTGTGTGTGTGTGTGTGTGTGTGTGTGTGTGTGTGTGTGTGTGTGTGTGTGTGTGTGTGCGTAAATAAAGAATGAATAGCAAAATAAAACATAAACCATTGTATATTCGTTTAATATCAACTCTCTTTATAATAATGTGGCGCTATCTCCAGGAGCCAGGTTTTGTCTATTGTCATCATATCCCTCATGTAGGTCTTATCTCCTGTAGCTTGTACGCTAGCAAATACGACCCTATGAACAAAACAATATGGCATTAATTCAATTAAAAGGCCCTATATAAAATTACATATAAGTAGGCATCATCGGTATTAAAAAATAATCGATAGATGATTATTGATCAACGATATATATCGTTTAGCGAAAGAAAAATAATTACATTTATTAGTGTGGCAAAATTGAAACCAATTACATTAAACATTTTAATAAGGATGGTGGCGGGGTAAAAATAAAGAATCCTATTTCGTCAGTCACATTTTAGATAAGTTGTTTTTTGCTTCAATTTAAACAGGAAATGGCATAGATAGGCAGTTAAAGTTCTAAGATGGGGCTCGCTACATCACAACTATGTAAAAATCGTCACATCACGTCACATTTCAACTCAATATAGCGACATTATTGATTACCCAAAAAAAAGGTGTTAAATATTTAATAATATACCCGGCAAACAAAAATTATTTATTTATTTAATCTTCATGCCTATAAAATAGCAAAATGCCAAAAAGGCATTATCTACCAATCAGACCGGTGAAGATGTACAGAGCATTCAGAAGGCAGTACCATAAAAGAACAAATAAAGTTACAATTCCTAACGAATAATACTAAATGATTGTATATAAAATACGAATATATATACATACACACTATAAACATATATAAAAATACATAAACATACAAATATATATGTTACGGCTAAAGGTCGGTGTGAACATAAACCTAAGATTAGCTGGCTAAACTTAGATTTATCTTCGAGAAGCAGCTAAAGTTCGATATCATGTTAGTTTACGACGGGATATTCCATCTTTAGCCGGTTAATGTACACATTAACCGAAACAAAACGGCTAAAAATGTATTCGATGGCGGAGGGCTTGAGGAGGCGATGGGGGGACAATGTACGCATAGATTATTATGTTTTAACAAATAACTCCATATGATTTTACAATTATGACTAGATATTATTTTAAATTATTAACACTGAAAAATATTTATTTTGTAATTTTAAATACTTACAGAAGTATATGTGATTAACAAATGGTTCCTTATTATTTTATTTTAATGTTAAGGTAGATATTGAATTCTAATGTTGAATTTCTGTCTTCTGTACTCAATACTGTTCAATCCCATGACTCCTTCCTATCTTAAAACTCGATTTTAATTTCTCTCATCTTCTCATGATCTATCTCTTCGCTCTTCTAATAATTGTCGTTTGTATATACCACCTAATCTGACTAAATTTTACAGCAATTCATTTACACTACAGGCCACCAAACTCTGGAACTCTTTACCCGAGTCAATACGACAGGCAAAGTCTTTAGACATTTTCAAATCGCTGTTAAAATCTTTTTACCTGTCTGAAGATCAATCTTCCTTTCCTTTCTACCTCTCTTTTCTTTTTTTTTTCTTTCTCTCTTCTCCTCTCTTTCCTCCCCCACATGTCGCACTTTCTTTGTCGCTGGCATGCTTTCACGCTTTATATATCTATTTTTTTGTCACTTGTATGTACTTATAACTTCTGTTCTATTTGTTCTATTTGTTAATAATTACTTTATTTTAAATTTGCACTATCTGCTAATATTTGTTATTAGTTAAATTTCTATACTTTGTTAGGTTGCCTGGCAGAAATCGCTATCAAGCGATAAGGCCGCCTATTGTACGATGATGTTATTATGTTTGCGTAAGATTTTTGTATATTGTGTCTTTTCTATTGTGCAATAAAGAATATTTATTATTATTATTATAAAAGTATGTGTAAGGAGAGTGATATTTATTTAATAAAAGTTTTCGTGTCAAAATAGTAAACATTATTACTTTATTTCCTTTTCCATATCCTTCTACATTTTTAGCCAAGGGCCTGCAGTAAAAGTCAAAGTCAAAATAATCTTTATTTAAATAGACTTCTTAAAAGTGCTTTTGAATCGTCCATTTTTTTTCCCTACCACTCGTTCAGGACGTCTTTTGGCTGAGAAGAACGAGCAAGAAACTCACCAGCTCTAATAAGAGTAATGACATTTACAAAAACCATGCCATTACCAGATCAATACATTATAAACTGAGATAGAAAAAAAAACTATGGTCTTATAATGATAACATAATCATTTAAAAATAATGGTTACACTAAAGTTTAGCCGGCTAATCTTAAGTTTATGTTCACACCCACCTTTAGCCGTAACATATACACATACTCATAAATCGAGTCAGACTATTACGAATTTATTGGAGATAATATTCTCGCACTTCTCTCTTAAATGCGAAACTGTTTGACGCATTCCGGATGCTTAAAGGAAGTACATTACAAAGTATTATGGCTGTGAGGGTGAAAAAATCAGAAAAATTAGTCACCGTTTATATTATTTAAGAAGCGTATCAGCTGGCACTCTTCAACTTATGAGGCCAAGATCGAGTTGCAAAGTCAGCTAAGTATTTATTATACGGGACTTGAAAAAAGGTATTATTCCCAGTATTGTTACAAGCAATAGGTTCTATTAAATGTATATAAATACATTCAGATATATATAATATCTCAAATTATTAGGTAAACGATATATATCGCTTTCCATATAACTCTATATGGTTTCTGTCGAGTACTGCATATTATTGTACGTGTTGGGGTGAGCAACCGGTACAGTCCCGTATAACCAAACGCAGTACTTCACGAAAACAATTAGTATTGCCAGACGTCCCGTATTTCAGGTATAAATTCAAAAGTCCCGGCGGGACTAACATTGTCCCATATATCAATTTAATTTCACAAATGGTTTAAAAGAGGACTTATGTACGAATCAAATGTCCTCCCAACTTACAACAAAAAGGGAATGAATAACCATAATTAACTATGATTATCATAGGTATGACGACTAATTTTTGTTTGTTTGTCCGTCAGGTAGATTATTCAAAACTATTTAACGTTTATTTTTTAATTTTTTTCGTAATAATGAAATTACGGCGATGCATTGAGTTAAAATGTCAGATGACGTCACGATTTTGTACATTTTCTACAAAACTGTGACGTAGCGAGTCCCCACTCCTCAACTTTAATGACTGTTATCTATTGTTATTGTAAGCTACTTCTTGTTAAATCAAAGTAAAAAAAAAATACCTGTCTAATATTTTTCTATTATCTGACTGACGGACTTAATAGAATTTCTTTTGATTGCCCAGTCGTCATCCCTATTGTATTGATTTTATTAAGTAAGTCACAAGTAAAACGTTTCGTCTGACAAATATAAAAAAAAAACAAATTAGAAAATAGTTTGATTTTATTTGTCCCGGATAAAAAAATTTAATCCCGTGTTTTTCTGTCTAGTCAAGCATATGTCCCTTACAAGTTGAAAAAAAAATCTGGCAACCTTAAAAACAATACATAATTCTATGCATAACGATACGTTTCGTTTAATTTCGCATTTATAATATCAGTATGAATGTATACAATACTGACCATGAGGGTTGTTGTGTGTGATAGAGACAGCTATCTGGGCTGATGTATAGAGCCGCCCCCCTCACGCCGCGGTAACTCGAGTCTAAACTTAAATATGCCGCTTGTGGGAACATTCCAGAGAGCACGCATTTCATTACACGTACACATTTACCTACAAATGAAAGTTTATAATATTTTAATTCTATATAAATACAGACAGTCGCTTTCAGTTTCGACAATGTAAATACCTAGCTGTCGTCAATAGTTCCAGTAATATATTTTATCTTATTATAAGTGAACATGTCACTTATGAGAATAAACATATTTAAACTTATAAATAGACAATCTGTGTACGTCAAAGTAGCAAGCACACCAACGAATTCAAGGATCTTATGCGTGTCAATAAATGGTGAGTAAATAGTGACAAATAATAATACATAGCATTTAAGCAGTGACATTGTAAATTAAGAGTTATAGGGATATCTTAGTAGTAGGGGAGCCGAAGCGGGGATTTCGGGATTTACTAAAGCGCGGCAGATTAATATACAGGGGAATACCTTGTACCCAGTTAAGTACCTGGACCAAGTATGAGCCCTATAAAAATGGCCGCCCGGCAAGGACGAAGGATCAGATTAGTAAAAAAAAATTGATCATCTGAAAATCTCGAGCGCGTCAGATTAAGGTAAGGTAGTTACATGCTAAAAGGTGTACATACCTCTAATCTGACAATTTGAGAGTGACGTAAAGAAGGGGGAAGGCTACAAAGTTGTAAAAAAAAACGTCACTTTGACATTCTCGAGCGTGGTTAATTTTTTTTTTATTTTGAAGGGAATCATTCAAGGATTACGAAAAATATATAATCTGACGATTGTCACAAGCCGAAGTAATAAAAATTCATCGATAAGATTTAATGCGTTTAAGCTACGTGATACCTATATTTCCTTCTCCGCATCACTATTTCTCTCTCTTTTTCTATCTATTACTCTCTCACTCCTACCCCACTCTGGTTTTGGTTGCCATGACGCCATGACAGCTGATGACACAGCCTCGTTCGTGGCGTGATATTGTTTACATCGTATTTCCAACGTTTTTGCTTATTTTGTTATTTTAATGTAAATTTTGTGAATTAAACTTTTATAGATTTACTAAGAGAAGAAGAGGAAGATGATTCTAGCGATGAAGATGATAATTAATAAAAAATACTGTAAAAATTAAATTTTCATATAATCATTTTCTTATAAATATAAGTATTTTACATAAAAAACATACACTTTTTTATTTGCATGCTAACTCCGGTGCTTTTCTATTTAATTAAGCTCAATGACAACCCAATAGGTCTCTATGACGCTCGAGTAAATCCCGATTTAGCATCGTGGGCTCCCCTACTATAGTGTGCCTGCTAGCTAGACGCTTAAAGCAACGGCAACATCAAAGAGACGGGTAGTATTTTGATGCCAATAAACACACAAAAAACGACTTAAATCGTGATTCTCATGATATGTAGAAAATGTGTATAAAATATATTCTTTATTACTTTTTAAAAATAAAAATAATTTATTCTATATTCAGGGTTTAATCGTATTTTATTGATGTGTATCATCCAGTTATAATAGTTAATGGAAATCAGTCTAAATTTTTAGTTAAGACTAGTTTTCGGTGTCACAAATTTTGAAATAATCTTAAAAATATGTAAAAATCATTGATACAAAAGGCAAAATTCTTTAACCGGAGGCCTATACTATTTACTGACACTTTATTGGCATACACAAATCTTCAAATCCGTTGGTGTGTCTGCTATCTTGACGTACATGACGAGCTGCTTTCGTTTCGAGGTATTCGATTCATAATCAGGTCAATGTAGAAAATGATCTATTCTATAACTCGTAGGAATTCTATAGCCTGGGATCTTATTGGTCCTCGAACTAAAATTCGGTATATTTTGAATAATAATTCTTATTAAGAATTAATAGTTATTGTTTCGGTTACTAGATAGCGCTTCATTATTTGTACATTGCGGTAATGTAATTATTTGTACACTTGTTTTTGTAAATATATAGTCTACAAACAAATTGTACTGTTTGGCAATTTAATACATAATTTTAATGAAAACTATTTTCTTTCTATTCCATAAATATTTTTGGGACAGTGTTCATTCTTATAATAAATGAAACAACTTTTAAAAGGTTTCATCGCGTTTGTATTTAGTTTCATTTATGGATATTGCGCGAAAATATAAGAAATCAATAGGTTCTCATAATTTTCCTAGAAAATAGAGGAAACTTCCTTTTCGGAGATATAGAATTGGACTTCAGGTGCCATGTTAATTCATACGAGTTGTATAATATTGGCTTGTAGTACAATAAGATACATCTAATGTGGCTACTGATATGTGACCAATCAAAATGATTCAACTATCACGCCATCTGGTGATCCACCAATATCCACGTGGCTGACCCGCTGAGGGTGATGGATATTTAATGTTTTGTATTTTATATCTCATGGTTATTGTAATAAGATAAAAAATATCTCTGCAAGCAGACCACGAATTTGGTGGCTTGTTGGAAATTACACATTTCCCCCTCATCATCAACAGCTCTTTCACGTCCCCACTGCAGGGGCTCGTGTCTTCCTTATGGATAGTTAAAGAGAATGGGTATTTCCGACTGTAAATGCAGCCAGAACCAACGTCTTAACGTGCCTTTCAAAGAACGGAGCACCACGAGATAATCATTTTTTGGTCACCCATCCCATGCCCGACCCTTGCGAAAGTTGCTTAACAACAACGATCAATCCGCGACGCTTGTGCACTACCCCACCGAGCTACTCTAACTTTGAAATAAGTCAAGCAAAAGTCAAAATTTAGTGGACTTGGTGAAAATCTACAAATTTCCCTTATCAGTAACAATTATTATTCAGGAAGTAAGAATTAATTTTCTCTAATAGTTAATTACAATACCTACCGCTCCCTAGATCGGGCCCTTCGAACGTTTTGTTTTCCATTTTGAATTTGTCTTTTATTAATTTTTCAAGACTCGTTCGTATTTCATAAGCCTGAAATTACAATAAGTAGGTATTTAATCATCAAACTGTTGCGAACTGGAATATTTTTTTTTATACGAGAAATCGTATACGCCGTCCATAGACTAATCCTATTAATATTATAAATGTGAAAGTTTCTTTGTTTGGATGTTTGTCGGTCAATCACGCCGAAATTATTTTGAATAGATTTTGATGAAATTTGGTATACAGATAGGGTATTAGCTGACTTAGATAATAGGATACTTTTTATCCCGCTAAACATTTCCCTAGGGTCCACGCGGGCGAAGCCGCTAACGAAAGCTAGTTACATATATAGCATGAAAGACAAACATCATCTCTCTCGGTCAGATGCACAAACGTCCATTAAAGTTTAATGACGTCTTTAAGGTCTAATTAATGTCAAATTTGTATGGGTAATGTAACTTTAAACTATGGTCTATTTTAATGGACGTTTGTGCAACTGGGTTGTAGTCGATTTAATGACACATTTAAAGTTTGTGAACTGGCTGTCTGTGTCTAAACGAGGGCATTAGACTAAACGGGGGATTAGACCGAGAAGGAAGACGACAGATAGTTATAAACAAACGCTCATGCATGCTATAGTAGAGATTTTTATTTTTAATTCTAACCAAGGGACAGCTGTGAGCCTGGCTTCCTTGGATTAATTAGTGAATGAATATATACTTTATTGCACAGTAAAATAATAACATAAAAACACAAAATTGAGAATGTAGACGCAAAACGCAGCTTTATTGCTATGGTGGCAATCATTGCATAATTCGTGTTACAAGAAAGCTTTCATAGTTATAAATACAGAAAATAGAAACATTTAATTTTTTTATAGCGGAAATCAATTCAGCATCATGAGCATATTAATATGTCCACTGCTGGTGCCTTCTCTATGGTTGGTTTTATATATGCCTTCAAAAGCTCGAGATAATAAATTTCGGTCACCCATCCCATGAATGACCTTTGCTAAAGTTGCTTAACATCCGTATCTTATACCAAACGCGCTAACTATTACGTCATGGAGCTCTAAAGTCAATTAATAGTAACTTTCATTATTTTTTACTTTAAAAAATGTATAAGAAAATACATAAAAAAAAACATACATCGCCATCGAACAAATGACTTCCTCCTTTTTTATTCTGAAGTCGGTTAAAGATAAGACAACAATTACCTTTTCCAGTACTCTATAATTGAGATACATCTTATGACACCAGTCTTTGCACGCCTTTCTCGACGTTTTCTCGTCGGAACTCGACGATTTCACTCTCATATACGAGTCGAACACGTTCAAATACATTATTATATCGCCTTCCGCAACCTGGAATAATATTTAAAATTGTATTAATAACTTAATTAAAATGTTTATAGTATAATTGAGAGAATTTTCTAATTACACTGTTTTTTTTATTAAAAATATTTATTTCACTAAGTAAAAAAAATAATATTTGGGCAAAAAAAAACATTACCTTGTCTTAAAATTAAAAAAATATACCTATGCTTACGAAAACTCTGCTATATTTATGACGTCATACTGTCAATTGTCATATCCATTTTAACATTTTTTTTTTGTAGAATGACATAATTTTTTACATCATTAATAGATTTATCAAGAAATCTATTATATTTACTTTAGCAGTAGAGTTAACATTCATGTACATTATAGGACTTTTAGGACCACAGATCTAATACAGACAGACAAAACGAGACCAAAAAGTCAGATGCGTTGCTTCTTTTACTGTCATATCAACGGACATCACCAGCTAATTAATGTCCCCCCGGCTCAGGCCTTTCATATGGATATAATCGAATCGAATAGGAAAATCGGGCGATGACCCACCATATGGGCCCAGAGCGGACGCGGTATTAACGACTACAGACGGGGATCAGAGGGTATTTACGACTGCTAATGCGACCAGGGCCAACGGCTTATCGTGCTTTCGAACTACGGAGATCGAGACAGTAAAATTTTCGGTCACCCATCCTATGAACGGCCAATGCGAAAGTTGCTTAACAAACGAACCCCAGTCCGAGTGCGCCATCGCTCAGTTCAACTCCATTCTATAAGATTACTTTTATCAGCCCAAGTTATAATATTCATGGCAATTTTCAGCTCAAATTTTGTTTTTAAAAAAGAAGGAAAGTGGCTCAAATTCTACTTGCATTTATTGACAACTAACAGTAAAAAAAAGCATGTATAAACCACCACCATCGACATAATTAGCCCTTTCTCGCCCCCCTGCAGGGGCTCAGGCCTTCCTTAGGAGCTAAGGAAGACGGGCCATGACCCTCCACTCTTTCCCAATGCGGAGGGAAGGGAGTACTCGAATAAGTTAAAAGTGTTACCTCAAAATTATTTCTCCTGGCCATCTTGGCAGCAATATTCTCTCTGCCTGAACTAGACTTGACAAAGACACTGTCCACTTGTAACATGGCCGCTATAGACAACGCTTCTTCAATACATCCATATTCACCTTAAATAGAACAATCAGTTCTTAATTAATCTCTTAGCTCCCATCCCTTATAGTTCGCATGAAAGTAATCATCTGGCGGCGGCTTGAAATAAAAAAGCGTGTAATCGATAATTATAATAAGCAGAGGTCGGAATCAGGTAGATTTATTTATGTACTTGCATCGAAATGTTGATATTAATGTGGACCTGCCCGGGATTTCTTTATTTCTTATTTCTTTCTTTCATTGATGTTAATTTGGCATCGTCGTGCGTGCAGTAGTTTAAATTGTGTAAAAGTAAATAACTTTTTATTTATAAATCACGGGATTTATCTGCTCTTTAAAATTAATCTCGGAATTTGTAAGTACATGAATAACTCTACCTAATTCCGACCACTGATAATAACCGACATAAATCAATATATATATTTTAAATATCAATATATAACCATTATAATCGATGTATAAAAGACGTACGTTTCTAAAGTAAAAAAATCAATAATCACGCGTTTGAAAGTAGCATACTTTCTTCTTTCGCGCCATTTTTATCCTCCCGATCTACACATGATTTTTATTTTTTTGTGCTAATATTATAAAACTTATATTGCTCCTGTTTTTCTTGATATATATATATAGATTAGTGAAAAAAGACATTTATATTTTCATTGACCGCTGGCATGTGAAACTCTCATGAGGCTCGCGGGAACGGTATATCACGTGACCAAATCCTGAGGCTCGTGGGACCGAATAGGTGAAATTGGTCATGACACAGAAATATGTCGTAAAAACTCATAAATATAACTCGTACGAATTAACATGACACCAGGGCCCATTCCCTAAACAATAGAAATTTCTAGCCTGCGCCATCGATCTGCTTTGTATACCTAGGGGCTATTAGCTCGAGGGAGGGGTGGCTTCGACAAGAAGCTCGAAAGGGAAGGAAGGGATATCACGAAATATTATAAGGGGAGAAGGGGTGTAGTAATAAATCGCTTAGCATAGATTATTAAACTTAGATTAGTAAACCGAAAAGCGGCGTCAAAAATGAAGATTTTTTGTAACGTGAAAAAATACACGTGATTTGGCCGCAGATTCTTTATTTATTTGGGTCCATTTATTTACAATAAGGTGATTAAATTGAATGCAGAAGAAAAGTATCTAACTGACTACAGACACTTTCATACGGGGAAACCGAGAACCTCACGATTTCGGTGCTTTGAGGTTAGTAGCTTATGTACCTATATCCATTATCTTTCAAACTAGCACACACTCACAAAAACACATACACACACATATGCGCGCACACACTTTCAGTTTTATTTCAGCTCATTATTATATGGGTTCTACGGGGATTTTAGGGCGCTGTACGCTGGTATACAGGATGTCTATTCCTATTTCGGCAACAGAGGAGTAACTTAAGCTGTTACCTATTTTTGTTAATTAACTAAGTATAATTGTAATATTCCTACTTTATATAAGAAAGTTTATTATTATTTGTGTTGGGGGGTAGCCTTAAACCTCACCATGTATCACCAAGGGGGTTAAAATGCTGAAAATGATCACTTGTTTAATGGCCGGCACCCTATATAATATTACTTATAAAGTCTCTAAATTAAAAAAAAGGATAAAGAGAACAAAACTCACATATACAAAGGAAACTCACCACTATTACAAAGCATTTTGGCACACATCGGCTTGACCGGCAACTCCGCCATTATCACGCCCACGTCTGGCGTTAGATCCCCATGTTTGTCTATTGCCTTCAACGCGTATAAAGTTTCTAGACCCGCTAGAAGGCTCTTGGCTGGAGGTGGAGTCGGGAATGTGAACCTAAAGTGACATACAAATAGAGTTCAAAGTTCCTGTGTAAATTATGAAAGTTTTTTTTCAGTAATATTATACGGGTTTTCAATTACAATCAAATGAGCTGTGCCCAAAAAAATATGTGTAAAAAATATTTGTATTAACATAATGTGGCTTATAATCAGAGGTCGGAATTAGGTAGAGTTATTTATGTACTTGCATCGAAATGTTGATATTAATGTGGACCTTCCCGGGATTTCTTTATTTCTTTCTTTCATTGATTAAGTTTGGCAACGTCGTGCGTGCAGTAGTTTAAATTGTGTAAAAGTAAATAACTTTCTATTTAAAAAATCACGGGATTTTTTCTGCTCTTTAAAATTAATCTCTGGATTTGAAGCATATCCACTTTATTTTTTCGCTGTATGAAATCAGTGTAAGTACATGAATAACTCTACCTTATTCCGACCACTGCTTATAATAAAGCTTATAAATGTGTCTTTGTAATATCACAAATTATATATCTGAAAATAAGCGAGAGGAACTGTTAACAATGTTACAAAAATTAAATGCTTCAAGAGCTCTATTATCTGGATATTTACATTATATGTGTATAAGTAGATACATTATATCTACGCTGGAATTCAAACACGTAGTTACCAACAAAACCAAAATTGTTCTTCAGAGTTGGAAAACTTTTACTTTTTTTTCGAAAATTGTTCTTATCAACGTCCATGGTAATAAATAAGGTGTTCCTAAGTAATATATACTGAAGAAAGTAAGTAATAAGCCGTGGTCGGAATTAGGTAGAGTTATTCATGTACTTACACTGATTTCATACAGCGAAAGAATAAAGTGGATATGACTCAAATCCCGAGATTAATTTTAAAGAGCAGAAAAAATCCCGTGATTTTTTAAATAAAAAGTTATTTACTTTTACACAATTTAAACTACTGCACGCACGACGTTGCCAAACTTACATCAATGAAAGAAAGAAATAAAGAAAGAAGAAATAAATAAATCCCGGGAAGGTCCACATTAATATCAACATTTCGATGCAAATACATGAATAACTCTACCTAATTCCGACCTCTGGTAATAAAATATTTTTATCAAAAATATAAAAAATTTCTACTATAAATATCCATTTTGATTTTGCAGGTTACGTGTTTGTTTTCAGCGTCGATATGTACCTAAGTATATGATGTAAACTTTCGGATTCGGGTACGATTTTTTAATATTTGATTCTGCTGAACCAAATATTCAAAGCTTCACTTTGAAAAATACAGATAATTAATAATGTTGTATTTTAGATGTTACTTTGTCATTATACTATAATATAATATATAATATTATAAAGAATGATTTGATTGTCTTTGTATAGTATAGAAGTGGCGTAATGGATAAGCGCTAAGGCCCGCGATCGTCGTTGTTACGCAACTATCGCAAAGGACAGGAACAAGATGGGTGACCAAAATTTTTTTCAAGTAAATAAGTATATAATGTGTAAGTTAATATTATAATATCTCACTTCAATAAGTTATGTATCCCCAAAGCTTTAAGGAGTAGAAGTACCGATGATAGATCACTCCTACACATCTCCGGAGCTACACTCGCTGCCATTTTATCGTATTCCGCTTCTGTGTACAGTCTGAAACAAAATTTTAATGTAAATATAATAAGGAAGTATATGAGTAAAAGCGAAATCTACATAACGTTAACACCATACGTTATGACGTTATGAAATGCTTAAAAATCCATTTTGTCCCTGGCACTCTGAGATGGGACTCGAACCCAAGTCGTAGTCGTTTACAACCACCAATCCGTACTGGGTCCGATTGATGGTTTATGATTGGACACGTGCTCTATATTTCTGTTCATAGACAAGGGTTGTCCACTATCAGTGATGAAATTAACAGGCTGACGCTGAAGATAAAAAACAATTATAAGAAAAATTATAAATTCATACTTTGCAAGCATATTTTTAAAGGAAAAATATCAAGAAAATTTATCCTACACTAATTTTATTTGTCTATTATTATATTAGTATTTTTTATTTATTTATTTCAAGAAAAAAATCCACAGCGAGTTCCTATCTTAATAATAGTAGATCAATTTTAACATATCTTAATACCAATTACGGATTTTCGTCATTTAATTACATAAAACAAAATTAAACAACCTCGACCAAGTACGGCAAGATGCGAATTGTATTTGTGTCTTTTTTTCGTCTATACTCCATTCATTATAGCATTAGACAGAAGTTAAATAAGATTCTTTTTATGGTATACTTTGTGACAAAATATCAATAATCATGTTAATTTTAAGACTGACGACTAATTTGCTACATATTCACTTAAATACCAGCTGCTATACTTTACTGTTGTCATTTAAGCTATCTATTAAATAAATTTAAGAGTATATGACTAACTTAAATGATTTAATAACTATTACAATAAAAAGTGTTCATCGTAAAGCACCTAAAGAATCAGGGTTGGATAGTTTCGGCACGATTCTCATGTCACTATAACTCTACCAAATTTAAAACGTTGCCTAACCCCTTCAAACGTTTTAGTAGTACAACTTTTTAATTTTGTCAGACTATTATTTATTCATAATTGTTAAAATCGTAATCTGGGATTATCATCCATTGTGAATGCTACTGCCTTTCTTGTTGTTTTGTTTTTGTTGTTAAGTTTTGGTAAATACGGACGATGCCGATGCAGGCCCGAGTGGCCTACAAAAATTTGCTCTAAGCCCCGATACCTACCCTCAACCTTTGACATTTCAGGGAGTTTTTCCAATGTCTTCATCAATAGTCTAACTAATTACACTTACAATTAGAATTTATCAAAACAACAGACAGATAGTTTCAGTTTTACTTCCATGTTGGCTTGGGACTAAAAGATGAATCTATAAAATGCTGGCCTCATCTCAACCCCGAGGTATCGTAAAAAATGGAAAATTGCCCAGCTCTTTCAGACTACCTAACGTTCAAAGTTTCAACAAAATTAAAATATATTTTTTAATTTATCTTGAAAATAAAATGTTCTGCATTGCTGCTTCTATGACCCTCTTTTTTCTGATGTAATAATGAATGGAGTATAAGTAGTAACATTATTTTTAAAAGATGCTTTAATACTACATGCATGCCCACACACACACGCACACACACTAAAATACTATAGAAAAAAAAAAAATTATATTTTATTATGTAAAATATGTATCACTGTTTTTTCCTTAAAAAAATGGTAAGAGCGAGATATCTCCAACCCAAGTATTACTTTTACTTGCTGGAGTAGTCTCATTTAAATGGAAAATAAAATATTATTATTATTACTACAGGCTAATATATCAACTGTCGCAAAAAGCTTATTGTAAGTTCTATGTAATCGAAATATAATTGAGTTTTGTGCATAGTTTGTGAAAAGCAGTATGTCTAGTAAAATGACCATGTAAGCTCTGTGGAAGTCAAAGTCAAAGTCAAAATAATCTTTATTCAAATACACTTCTTAAAAGTACTTTTGAATCGTCCAACATTTTTTTTCCCTACCACTCGTTCGGGACGTCTTTTGGCTTATAAGAAGAACGAGTAAGAAACTCCAGCTCTAATAAGAAATGTCATTTACAAAAACATGTGTGTGTGTCTGTACAGTCAATAGCCCCACTATATGTTGTATGCTGTATGTTGTATGTTTGTATCATACCTATAACATTTGCCGCGACTCGTTCTGCCGGCGCGACCGGCGCGTTGCGCTGCGTTGTTTCTAGATATAGGAGTGATACAGATGCTCTCAACACCCAGCGACGGATCGAAATACGGCAACTTGTGGAACCCACAGTCTACCACTGCGAAAGAACAAAAGTATGGCGTGAACTCGATGTATTTTTTTAATGTGAGCTCCATATTCCGATGAATTGTGTTATAATCAATATCACAACTATTAGATTATAAAAGCTGTGTTAGTGCTGAGTATGACGCAGTATACTCACCGTATGCAACATGCGGGATAGTTAGCGCGGTCTCCGCCACATTAGTGCTGAGTATGACACAGTATACTAACCGTATGCAACATGCGGTATAGTTAGCGCGGTCTCCGCCACATTAGTGCTGAGTATGACACAGTATACTGACCGTATGCAACATGCGGTAAAGTTAGCGCGGTCTCCGCCACATTAGTGCTGAGTATGACACAGTATACTGACCGTATGCAACATGCGGTAAAGTTAGCGCGGTCTCCGCCACATTAGTGCTGAGTATGACACAGTATACTGACCGTATGCAACATGCGGTATAGTTAGCGCGGTCTCCGCCACATTAGTGCTGAGTATGACACAGTATACTGACCGTATGCAACATGCGGTATAGTTAGCACGGTCTCCGCCACATTAGTGCTGAGTATGACACAGTATACTGACCGTATGCAACATGCGGGATAGTTAGCGCGGTCTCCGCCACATTAGTGCTGAGTATGACACGTCTGACAGCTTGTGGCGTGACACTGCATGCCGCAGCTTGTTTATAATGCGGTAAGCTTCCGTACAACGGTACAACGTCTAATGTGTAACTACCCACACCGCTGGGGAAGTGGGTTCGATGTTTCTGTTTAGAATTGTTCTCTTCTACGTATGCGGAGAGCATTTCTAAAGCTGCGAAGATTTCCTCCTGGAATATCCAAATTTTAATAGAGGGTAAGCAGTATTATGACATCACACGAAATGATTTCTAAAAGTAAGTTTGTAAACAACTACAGCTGTTTTCTTTAGCTTTTAGTTTTAAAAATAATAATACAGTTCAGAATTTTCGCAGTCTATTAGATGAAAGCAACGATACGTAAAGATAATTGATACAATAGACAGCACCTTTTTTACTCCACTTCAAAATATTTTACTGATAAATACAAATGCTACCATGTAAATTAATACACACCTGTGACGTGAGAAATGCTAGAACATTCCCCAAGGGTTCATTCTCGTGTATTTTTATAACAGTGTCCACTGTGGCTTTCACGTAATCAGCGACCGGTTCTAAAATAAATTATTCTTTGAATAAATATGGATACAGATGACGCCAAACAACTTGAACAAAAAGTGTGGTGGTGGGGGAAAGTTTGCGCATG